ACACATCACATACATAGCATACAAGATACTCTGTCACATAACTCTAATTACCACTCAAGGTAAAGTATAGTGAGAAGACTCACCTGACCAGCAGCAAGTAAAGACCCCGCTCTCAAATCTCGAACTAGCCTCCACCTGACACAAGGGATGAATATCTCTAAGTGATACTCTAATCACAACTCTAATGACCGAAGGCTATTCTTCCTCTCTTTAACTCTTTGAAGTGGATAAAAGACCATTTTACCCCTCCATGGTCTCTACTACTTATGTTGATCCAAGCCCCAAAGTCAACAGAAGTCAAACTCGAGTCAACAGTCCATGTTTGACCCGACTCGCCGAGTGCACCCTTGCGACTCGTCGAGTCCACTTACTTTCCTCAGAAATCTCGTGCCAGTCCAGCTCAGCTCGTCGAGTTGACCCCCAACTCGTCGAGCTATCGCCTGATTCGGTTCCTCGGGACAAACCCTAACCAACTCGTCGAGTCGGCTCATCGACTCGGCGAGTTCATTCAGACCAAATGTTCATTCAGACGATTTAAGGCAGATCCATCACCCCAAACACTAGATCTACCATCCTGAGGGTCGAATGTCACGTAAAGCTGCAAGCTTTACGTTTAAACATGGCATATAAAGCTCATAATGCCAATATAACTCTAACGAGGATGATTAACCACAATAACTCTTCTATGGTTAACTAAAGCTATAATCTTTGGACTCTCTGGACCTCACAAGGTCCAGATCTGAAGTCTAGGCCTCACGAGAGACCTTATGCATACAAAGTCCCAACAATGGTGGAAGAAACCCTAATCTTCCATATCTACAAGATCTAAGCAAAACAACAAGAAAGGTGCAAGCTTTTACCTCTTACTCAAGCCCTTGCACGAAGTTACACCAGATCCACTGATTCTCTAGCTCCCTTGATGGGTGATCTCCTCTTCTCCTCAAGAGATGAACTAGTTTACTCCAAGTTTTAGCTTCTAAGACTCTCATGGCTCTCTATACATGTTTAGGGTTTGCTCTCAAGGAAGGGTAGCCGCAAATGAGGCTATAAGTTCCTTTAAATAGGTCTCAAACTCGGGAAATTAGGGTTTCTCTGCCCAGCACCTACTCGGCGAGTCCCTCCTCTGACTCGTCGAGTCTATTCATTAAATTCACGCGATTAACTCGACTCGACTCGACGAGTTGGTCCCTCAACTCATCGAGTCCCTCCTTAAATCTCAAGATTAACATACACGATAATGTCCCTGGATATCCGGATGTTACATATTTTGCAACTTTGGTTGATGATCACAGCAGAAATACATGGATATTTCTTTTAAAACAAAAGTCAGACATTCAAGAAATAATCCCAAAGTTCTATCCATTCATTTTAACTCAATTCAACAAAAAGATAAAGGTTTTTAGATCTGATAATGCCAAAGAGTTGGAGTTCCAGAATTTTTTCAACGGTTGAAAAAGGGATTGAACATCAAAAATCATGTGTTGCAAGATCTCAACAAAATTCTGTAGTTGAAAGGAAGCATCAACATCTATTAAATGTTGCAAGGTCTTTAATGTTCCAGTCACATCTTCCAATTAATTTTTAGGGCGAATCTGTTCTTACAGCTGCATATCTCATCAACAGAATTCCTTCTAAGATTCTTCATAATGATTCACCATATCTCAGATTACATGGTTTCAATCCCGAATACTCTTCTCTTAGAACCTTTGGCTGTTTAGCATTTGCTTCAACATTAACAACTAATCGTCTCAAATTTGAACCAAGAGCAAAGATGTGTGTTTTTCTTGGGTATCCTCCAAATATGAAGGCTTATAAATTTCTTGATTTCAATATAAAGAAGATTTTTTATTCAAGAGATTTTGTTTTTCATGAGAATATCTTTCCCTTTCAAAATTACTCTAAAAACTCATGTCAAGATGTTTTTGACAAAATTGCCCTTCCATACCCCTTTGCTGATAATGACATTGTTGACAATTTAGTTCCACAAGTTGACACTTCAATTCCTGTACATGATGATCCATCAAATGTATCTCAAGATAATGTTTTAAGGAGGTCTACTCGTATACATCAACCTCCTTCTTATTTTAGAGATTTTCATTGTAATGCTGTTACCAATTCTAATAACGCACATTCGTTACGTAAAGTTCTTTCTTATGAAAAACTTTCAACCAGACATCGTGTTTTTGCTATGTCTATTTCTGCTACATTTAAACCCAAACATTATAATCAAGCATCCAAATATCCAGAATGGTGTAATGCCATGTATTCTGAGTTAGAGGCAATGAAAGCTAATCACACATGGAACAATGTTCCATTACCAGCAAACAAGAATACTGTGGGTTGCAGGCGGGTATATAAGATCAAACATGGTAGTGATGGGAAGATTGAAGATATAAGGCAAGATTGGTGGCCAAAGGTTTTAACCAAAAAGAATGAATTGATTATTTTGAAACTTATTCTCCAGTGTCGAAGCTAGTAACTGTTAAGATGCTTTTAGCTATTGCAGCCATTAAAAAGTGGAACATGGTTCAATTAGATGTCAACAATGCTTTCCTCAATGGTGAATTACATGAGGAAGTATTCATGGATCTTCCACCTGGTCTTCATGTTAACAATCAAGAACAGAAACGTTCATCAAGATTAGTATGCAAATTGAACAAATCAATATATGGTCTTAAACAAGCTTCTAGACAACGGTTTGAAAGATTTTCTCAATTTATGCTCAGTTCTGGTTTTGTTCAATCAAAGTCTGATTACTCTTTGTTTCATAAGGGTAAAGGAGATGACTAGGTTGCTTTATTGGTGTATGTTGATGATATTATCATTACAGGTTCATCTCAATCTGGTATAAATCTCATAAAAGAAAAGCTAAGACAAGAGTTCAAACTCAAAGATTTAGGAAGTTTGGGATATTTCCTTGGATTAGAATTTGCTAGGTCAAAGGAAGGTATAATGGTTTCTCAACGTAATTACACATTACAATTGATTAAGGATGCCAGATTATTAGCTGCAAAAACCAAAAATACCCCTATGGAGCCTAGATCACAATTGTCTTCAAAGGGTCAAGAGTTTATAAAGATCCTTCTCAATATCGAAGATTAATTGGTCGTTTATTATATCTCAATATCACCATACCTGACATATCCTATGCAGTTCAACAGTTATCCAATACATTTCAAAACCAACCATCGAACACTACAATGCTGCTTGTCATTTGTTGAAGTACTTAAAAATGTCTCCTGGTCAAGGCATTTTCTTCCCATCTACATCCAAACTTCAATTGAAAGGATTTTGTGATTCTGATTGGGCAAAATGCAAGGATTCGAGAAGGTCAATCATAGGGTTCTGCATTTTTCTTGGCAACTCATTGATTTCGTGGAAGTCAAAGAAGCAATCCACTGTTTCCAGATCTTTTGCTGAAGCAGAATATCGTGCTATGGCAATGACCACATCTGAATTAGTTTGGCTGAAGCAATTGTTACAAGATTTTGATGTCAAAATTAAAGATTCAGCTCTTCTTTTCTGTGATAATGATGCAACTGTTCAGATTGCAACAAATCCAACCTTTCACGAGCGTACGAAACATATTGAAGTTGATTGTCACTTCGTGTGGGAAAAAGTAGTGAATAAAACTATCAAATTGTTACCAATTCGATCAGCAATGCAATTTGCTGACATGTTTACCAAGCCTTTACCTGCTTCCAAGTTGTTACCTTTCATGGTCAAGATGGGATTGAAGAACATCTATTCTTCCCTTCCATCTTGAGGGGGGAATATTGGAGATAAACTATAAGGGTATTATTGTAATTTTATAATAGATAGTCAGTTAGAATCTGTGTAGTAGTTAGAATCATTTTTCTTTTCCCTCATGTATAAAGATGTAACAACTTCATTGTTGAAAGTAATGGACTGATTACTTTTAATAGTTTTTCATCTTGATAGAGCACCAGCATTAATGTATTTTGTTGTTTATATCGGCTAGTTTTCATGTATCTATGTTATAGTTTGAAGTTATATCACTATTAGCCGCATTTCAAGAACAATCCGATCGTAGAAAAAGCCATTTGGTATAACTGAAAAGATCTATGTTATAGTTTGAATATCTTTTATTTTGGAGTATGTTAAAAAGCTGCAATTTTATTTACTCCTATGTATTAGCTTCTCATAATTTAGTTATAAATGAAAATATATAATTATAAAAATTAATTATTGCTTACTGAATAAGAATTGCGAGGCTAGGAGCAAAATGTCATGTTCCAATAAATTTAACAAATATATTTTGAACAGCTTTTTCAAAAGTAATTTACATATGAAATAGGAAAATAAGACTAAATAAAAACAAAAAACGATTTTGCCCTACTCAGGAAGGGACATTGGATTTTTTCATTAGTCATTTTTCTATTAAATCATGTAATGACATTGCAAATACCTGAAAAAGGATAAATCTATTATCTATTTCTATTATCTATTATAAAGAAGTTCATTGATAATCATGTGGTTAAAAATAAATTGTTATCTCAAACTTGAAACCTATGACTTTTTATATTTCCTAAATCAATGACAACTAGATAAGAAACCCCGCTTCGCGGGGGTTGGATTAGCCACTAATGTCAAAGAAAACCGACGGAAAACATTACGTTAAAGATGGTGTCATCGTTTATCAGTCGTTCGTCATGGAAGTAGAAGTAAACTAAGTTCTATTCTCTTTTTAAAACACATATGCTGGGTTCTTAAAGCTACACAGATGAACAAAAACACATATTCAGAATTTAAGTATAATGATTAAATAAGGAATCATTAGAAAACATAGAAAAAAATCAAAGTATAACACTTAAAAAGTCAACTATTTGAAAATATTAGCTTTATTCTGACCCCCCATGAAGAAATACCCAAACTGAAAGCTTGAAGAAAAGCTACAAAATTAATAGAAAATAATAAATAAAAGTAATCTTGTGAAAAGGAACATTAAACATGCATACACATTAAGATATATTACTAATCCTAGTCATAGTCCAAACTTGTTACACCGAAAAGGACACCACTTGTGAAAATAATAACTTGAAACACAACAAAAACCAAATGAAAATGTTAAAGAAAAAACATAGATGATCATACGTAGCACATATCAGAATGAATACTCCAATATGTAAGGCGATAGCAGACATGGAGAAACCAAAAATGAACCTTCAAAATCAAAATCGAAAAATCAAATCAAATTGAGCCAGAAGCGGTGTATTGCCTGGGGATGATAGCCTTGTTGATTGCAAGTGTAATAGTCCAATACATATCAAAAGTTAATACATATCAAAGGAGAAGATACAAAAGTTTGCTACTATTGGTCATCCTAATATTAGTAGTTTCCGTCTCATCATGTTGTAGGCGATTCCATATGTAATGACATTCTAGCTGTTAAATGACATAAAATATTGAGTACATGTACCTCCATGAGTTCATAACCAAGGACTAACATGTGTAAAAAAAATCTAAATGAAATTGATATTCCATCTTTTCATACCGGGTTTTAATGTCTATTTATTTATCTATAACAAATAAAACTTTAATATATGCAATGCAAAGATGATAATGATGGGGAAACTACAAATAAACCATTAATAATTTAATTAATAGTACAATAAACCAACCTTTGTGGCGTTTTGGACAAAAATTGCTAGTTCTTCTTCTCAAAACCCACACCCACAGTATGTATAACCTTTGTACAAGAACATGAAAACATATTATATTTAATTAATATGTTTAACTAAAAGTGAAAGCATATATATATATATATATATATATAATCTGAAACAACAATGTGATGCATACCTTGTAGGTAGATCATAAGCATTAGTAGCTCTAGACATCCTTGTTCTGCTGCCACCCTATGAAAGTCAAAGGTTACTTCAGATTATTTTGGTATTTTGAAGTCGTCAGAAGAAATAAAAAAAAGCGCTTTAAATAGTAAGCGCAATTATGGAGGCTTTTCTGGTACCAGATAGAGAATGAGCAAAGACATCTTGATCATCAACGATAAGCCTAACCTCAATTAGTCACGATTTGTTTCAAAATAAAAATAAAAAATGAGACCATTACAGAATAGGAAAGAATTTGAAATCTGAATTCAAGATGTTTCTTGTTTGTGAGTGGAATTGCTTTGTACCTCACAGTTACCCTATCAAAATTATTCAAAAATCAAACAGTAATGAAAATGGCGGATCAAAAATTGAGACATGTTGAAGCGTCATACCATGGCCCCTCAAATCTTGCTAATTTGGCATTCTTGCACCTCAGCTTAACTGATTGCCATGTTTCATCTGAACATTCTTCAAATGGTTGGTTTCAGACCGCATACCAGTATAAATAAGAACGATTTGGGCAAAGTAGACAAACCTAAAGTCAACAGTGAGCACCTCACTTCAGAATACGGTCCAGTGTTGGTGGTTTAAGGATCTTCACCAGGTCGTGACATCCATTCCATTTAGAAACTGAGAAGGCCGAAGACGAAGCAAAGCAAGGGAGTGAGCCGCCGGAGACGGTCGATTGCGCTCTTCGATCTCTGTCTGTCTCTCTCCAAACAATCGAAAAGTTAATTTGTGAAGGGGGTGGAGTAAAAACAGGTGAGTATTAGTGGGAAAGTAATCGAAACAACCTCTATAGGGCAAGAATAATAGCTGGGATTCAAAGAAGAAAGCGAAATCAACAAATCGAAGAAGGCGACCGATATAAACAGATAACAGAGGCGGTGGGAAGTGATTGGGCGGAAAATCAGTGGAGATAATATGTGAGGAACACATGGGACCACGTGTCCACAAAGAATGGACAAATTGGCATAAATTATCCAAAAAAAGAAAGCAATAGCAACAGAGGCAGAATATAACAAAGTTAATATAAAAGAAGGATTAGTTTTACAAAAATGGTGGATGTTCGCTATTCCTAAGCTTTGTCTTTTATATATATATATATATATATATATATATATATATATATATATATATAATATATATATATATATATATATAGGGTTAGGTTCTTGTGAGACGGCCTAATTTTGTGAGACCGTGAGACGCAATCCTAGCCATTCATTTGGTAGATAAAACAAAAAACATTTTTTTAATGCAAAATAATTGAAAATTTTCGAATTTTTTTTTTCAAATATTATTTTCGGAATTTATATTTTCCAAAAAAAATAAAAAAATTACTAAAAAAAAATAAAAAAAAAACTTTTTTTACATATTCTAGTAGAATAATAGAATATTCTACATATCGAGAAATCTAGTATAGTATTCTAACATTCTAAAAATCACATTAGAATATTTACAGTGTAATATTCTATTAGAATATTTCACGTATTTTTGAAAAAAAAAACGGTAATTTTTTTTTATTATTTATTATTTTTTTATATTTTTTTTAGGTAATTAAAGTTCCGAAAATAATAATTAAAAAAAGAATTTTTGGATTTTTCATTTTATTTTCCATTTTAAAATTATTTTTAGATTTGGTCTCATGGTCTCAAATGAACCTGAACCTATATATATATATATATATATATATATATATATATATATATATATATATATATTAATTACTACAATAGTTATAAACTTCTAATAAGTTTTTGTATTCCTACTTATGTATATATTTTAGTATAAAAAGATCAATAGATTTTGTTTCTATTGTTTGAAAATAATATATGAAATAAAATTTATGGATATATTTTTTTATTCTACAGCATAGAATTTCTTATATTGTATTTTTCTATACTACATGAGATTCACTAAAAATATCAACAATAATACCATATTTATATATGACATTTGTATTATTATTATTATTATTATTATTATTATTATTATTATATATATATATATATATATATATATATATATATTCTTTATTTTCAATGTACTACTAGATATTATTAAATGTGTTGTTGATGTTAGTTATATTATCGTGTTGAACATGAGATTATGTTTTTCTGTTCAAGTTTTGTGGCGTAAATATTGTTATTGTTAGATAATATGCATTGTGGTGATTATACTATAAATAGTTTTGTATTAAATTTAAAATTTATAGGTTCATATGTAATATATTATTTTATATAATCATATTTTTTTAATGTTACGGTGTACGCCTAGTATATTATGGACGTTGATAATCCTCTAATCTAATAAATAAATACTTTTATGCCATGTGGCATTTTCTTAGCCTCCCTCAATCGACTTTTCCCGCTCTTATCATCTAACTGCATTTCCGAAATTGCCCCTGCTTCGTTTGACTTGTATCCTTCATCCTTATTTCATTCCTAAAAATTAAGAAACAAAGTAGGGATTGGATTGCAACAGTTACTAATTTGGATTCTATTTCAAACTTTCCAATTTATAACATCTTTCTCTGTTAACAAAACCCTACGCCGGTCACCTTCACCGCCACCATCTCTCCTCCTTCATCATTCTTTCAGTTATCTTTCTTATTTTACCAGCTTAAGAATTCTCCTGCGACCGTCTGTATCTTTCCTTCTTTGTCTTGCTGCTCAATTTTTCTTAATGGATGATCGTTAAATAATGGCTTCGATGTGCAGGTATGTCATTACTTTTTTATAGTTAGGTTAAAATCTTCCCCTCTCTCACTTCTTTTTCTATTTATATTACTTTTTTTTTTTTGGATTTTTGGTTTCAAGGTTTAGTAGAACCTTGAATGATGTTTTTTTTTCTTCATATCTAATTAATCAGCGTTTTGTAAGTAAGCAAAAGGGGTTGGTTTTTGTTTTTGTTGTATTCATGTTCTTATGTGTTATTATATTGTTGTTTTATAGAGAGCCTCTTGGATGCATCTAAGATTCGAAGATCTCAAGCAATAAAAAGGGGTTGGTTTTTTTGTTTTCTCGAAGATCTCAATCTAGATTCTTTTGTGACAATCCATGGTAAATGTGTAGATTTAGGAGTGATCTAAAGGTGTTTGATGAAATGTCTAAGAGAAATACATTTACATGATCACCTGTGAGAGTCTTTATTTTGGTTTAGTAGCTAAATTCGTCGGTTTGGGTACTAAAGGTTTGTTTTCTTTGCAATTTTGTTTTATTTTATCTATTTTTGATTATTGATATGTTTGTGTATCAATGTGTGCATCTGTGTCGAGACAATATATAATTTGGGTTTGGTTGGAATTGATACCTTCAAAGTTCTATTTTTTTTCTTTCTTTACGCTACATTTTTCATTCTTCATATTATTAAACCATTCGATGATTGTTAACATTATACTAATTGATTTGTGCTTCCTTGCCAGTAGATGTTTCATGTCTTTTAATTTCACATTGAGTAGAGTGGAATGGGAATATGTGAGTTGCTTTCTTCTTTTTCACGTTCTTTCCTTATTTATTAAAAACTTTGTTTTGATATACAAGGATATAAAGAACGAACTCCAGTTGCTTTAGAAAAAAAATGTGTAACAACTTACATTTGCAGCTATCTTCATTTGGTTTTATTCAATTTGTAACGACGTAAATTTTTAAAACAATTTTTCATTTTTCAAACATAATAAAACTCATATAATATTCTCAAAATCTCATATATCAATGTCATCACCATAAAACATATCTCAGAATCTAAACACTTAATCTTCTGCCAGTGTGTACAAATAATGTTGGCGCCTTCCCACGACTCTCGCTGGTACCTGAAACACATATCACATAACACGGTAAACATAAATGCTTAGTGAGTTCCCCAAAATATCACGTACAACAGATACGCCACTCGAGGCTACAGTACGACCCTCCGGTCGATGTGTCTCAGCGGGACCCTCCAGTCTCGTAGCTCATTGGACCCTCTGGTCCGGTCATAGCTCGTCGGACCCTTCGGTCCAGTCTGTGTCATTGGACCCTTCGGTCCGGTCTATATCGTTGGGTCCTACGACCCGGTCTATATCGTTGGGCCATCCGACCCGGTCTGTTCAACACATAGCATACATATAACACAATGCACATAATCTCATTTATATACACATAGCATACAAGACCCTCCGGTCTACACATAAATACCACTCTAGGTAATGTATAGTGAGAATACTCACCTCGGGTAACTCGGATAATCTCGCACACGGATATACGGATCTAGCCCCCGCCTAATCACATAAACAATATCCTCAAATAAATAATGGCTCTCAAAGGCTAGATTAAATCCCTTTCTACAATCCCACAGAAGGGTAAAAGACCATTTTACCCCTCCTTGACCCAAAAGTCCAAATGTTGACTAAAACCATAAAAGTCAACAAAAGTCAACAGGGAGCAGTATGCGGCGCGTACCAACTCTTGTACGCGGGGCGTACTCCGGCGATCCAGAATCGGGGTCTCAAACCCTTACGCGACGCGTATTGGGATTACGCCCAGCGTAAGTCCCTGTTTCCTACTTTCTTCATTTTTGGTCTGAAAAGATTAAGACTTAGGCTCATAACTCAGATCTAAGCTCCCTACTGCCTCTTAAGTCATAAAGTTGGAACCTTTAAGCCCTTGCATGGCTGTAAAGGTCACCAATCACTTCAAACATATATCCTCTTTTCCCATTAAGCCCTAATCTCATGCATGACTTAATCTCAACGTCCAAGATTGGATTTTTATGAACCTACAACACATATTACACTGGAATAGGGCAGATCTAAGCTTATGGAGACCCTTTGCTCATAAAGTCTCCACCTTGGGACCAAAAACCCTAAAAATGGGTCCATAAAGCACAAATCAAAGATGACAAGGAAAGCTTTGAGCTTTTTACCTCCAGGTGAAGCTCCAACCTCTATAAAACTCGGATCTAAGCTTGCCCTCTAACTTCTAGCTTCCACCATGGCCTCCTCTTCTTCTTCACCATCACAAAATGACACTTTCAAGCTTAAGAACACACACATAAGCTTATAACGGGTTTTTGCTCTCTTAGGGTTTCACTCTCTGTAATATGGTGGTTGGGGTAAGGACCATATCATTCCTTTTATAGTCCTCAAGTCTCATTTAGGGTTTTGCATCTGAGCTAGTTACGCCCAGCGTAACTTTGGTATGCCCAACGTACCTAACTGAGTCCGCGTCCATAATAAGCGCATGAGTACGCGCAGCGTACTCTTCAGTACGCCCAACGTACTCGTTTGCAACACTTTTCACTTAGGGGCTAAACTTGACAGTTTGGTAAATAGAAAGGGTTCAATAGATGTACTTAAATTTCGGGATGTTACATAATTGAATTGTAATGTAGGTAATTATGGTTTGCTCATAAAGTGTAAAAGGAGTTGTTGATACTGGTTAGTTGGTTACTAATTATAAAAGGTTCTACAAGAGCTAGGCTTAAATGTGGAAATTCTCTGTCGCTCAAAGTCTCCACTAATACTTTATTTTCCTTTTTTGTTTTGATATTATTTTTATACTAATTTTGGTGTTAAGTTTTATATAAGCATAATGCATTTAAAGTCTTTGATTTTGTCTGTTTGATTGCCGACAGGTTCGATTTTTCTACTGATGGTGAACTTTTCAAGATAGTTAACTATAGGTTTCTATATTTTCATTGATTTGCTCATTATGGCATCCTACTTTAATTTTTCTTTCTATTTACTTTAAAATAACAATATACTTTGAAAGTATGTTGCTATATTTTAATAAAAATTTCATGTGACGTGTAGCGACATTGGGTAAATCATTCAAATGACTACATAGCAATATAATTCCATTTGATTTGCTTAAAATCATTAAAATGACAATATATAAGCTATTTTGCCACATATAAAAATATACTTTTATTTGATTTGTGAACTTTTATTTAAATAA